TTCCGTTTTCAGCGTTTAATCCAGTTTTAAGCAGGATTTGAATATAGGTAATGAGTAAATCTTATTTTAGACAATTTTGTCTTTCATTTAATACTTTGGTCATTTAAATATTTATTTTAAGTCCACCGCTTTCTAGTGTCAAAGCTAAAAGTATGCACTGCATCACTGTTGGTCAAATTATCTTGTTAAATTTTTTGGTGGTTCACGATTTCTTATTCACATGTAAGATGTGCCATTCATTCGACGCGTATTTTTAGTAAGCATACAACTAGGCTAATAACCAAGGGCAACTGTCCCCACCGGCGAAACAACTGAAATTTTCTTAATTATCACTTTTTACACTTTCACCGCTCTTTCTTTCAAACTAATAGACATTTTTGAACTCTTGATATGCTATCCCTTTAGTGTCTGCGATACCATTCCATTGGTGTATCACAGCAGATTTTCATTTCTTCGTGTATATGTACAGTGCCGAACTTAAGTGTTGGCACACTTAGTATCTTTAGCTTTAAGTGCGCTTTTCTACCTTTATAAATGTGTTATAAAATTCAACACAATTATTTTGGATAATGGGAATATTTAACAATCAAATTAATTTTGTTTCAATGAATTATCTCTTAAAACTAAATTTTAAAAATTTAAAAACCAAAATATGAGCAGATTTAGCTGCACAAAAGTATTGGCACACTTTTGTTTTTAATAACTTTTCGTTAAAACTGAACCGATTTTGTTGCTTTTATATATATATATAAAGTAAAAAAAATAAACACCTTTATCTCTGCGAAAAATAAAAAAAATAAATACCTTTATCGCTGCGAAAAATATTAATTTTTTTTCAAGATCAGGGTCAATTGTATACAAACATTTGTGAAAGGGTGCCCTGAGGCTGAATATATCGTTGTGCCTAAAGGGTTCCGTAATTTAAACTAACAACTCAATTGTTTTTTTCTAGTTTCAAAAAACAAGTACTTAGCACTTGACATGGCCTTTCGGAAGGCTACTGGGTAAATATCCTTGCCAAAGACCTTCCTACCCAAAACTTAGATCAGTGCTGAGTAGATCTGAGGGTTGTCATTATCCTATTATGATCCCTTCGCCTCTCTGGCCACTCAAAGCTTTGTACCGTCCTATGAGCCATGCATTTTTGCATGGTTAGAGTCCTTTAGAGCGCCATTCATTTGGCAAAAAAGCAACCAAATCGGCTAAGTTCTAACGAAATAGTTGTCAAAAACACAAGTGCGCCAAGACTTTTGTGCAGCTAAATCTGCTTATTTTTTGGTTTTTAAATTTTAAAAATTTAGTTTTAAGAGATAATTCAATGAAACAAAATTAATTTGATTGTTAAGAATTCTCATTATCCAAAATAATTTTGTTGAATTTTATAACACATTTATAAAGGTAGAGAAGCGCACTTAAAGTTAAAGATACTAAGTGTGTCAACACTTAAGTTCGTCACTGTATGTACATACATATAAAACCATCGCACATTCTCCTTGTGCTCCAGTGATAGTCTTAATGAGACATCTTGAAGAATGCAATAACAAAGTTGCGTATTTTGTGCAAACAAGCTTTCAATAAAAATTACTAATAAAATAGTTCAGAGTGCAATACAGCTGTTAGGTTCATCGAATTGATTCTATTGTCTTTAATGCTTCTCCCGTTGTTGTTTTTGTTGTGGGCGCTTCACTCCTAAGAATGGTAGAGTATACTCACCCAGCAGGTGATGCACTGATATAACAAATAAACTCTTCGATGTAACGTTGTATTGTCGACATTTTTTCAAAAACTTTAAAGGCATTTTTGTACTTTGGGGCTTCGGTTCCGCTGGCTCACTTGTTGACTAATACAGCACCATCAACTCCACGGAGCGCAGCGCATTGCGGTTGGCGATAGCTTAAGCTAACACACCGCCACAATCGAGCATAAATAAAATAATTCTCAAAACTAAAACTGATTTCTGACCAGCGTGACCACACAGATAATGAATAAAAATACCATCTGGCCTAAAAGTAAATACCATTAGATACCATAGAAGTTTCTATAAATACCACTTTAGTTAATCTATGTTATAATTTGTGTTTTGTTACTCAAATAATTTGTAAATAGAGTTCGTAATAATAAAAGCAGTACATATATGTATACTTTCTAAATTAAAAGCAAAGAAATTATTGTGTACTTACGCTTAAATTTAATTACCCTATAGTTCCATTCGATTTTTAAAGTGTATTATTTAAAGTTTATCGAAACCATACATCTTTAGACTGACCATCGCACTATGGTCACTTTTTGTGGCAATAATAATTACTTAAGCCTAGTACTCAGTTAAACAAATAAATTGAAACAATTTAAAAAAGAAGAGTCTGCTGGTGCACAAAATAAAAATAAATGAAATATTCAACGAATGTTTTTATTTATGTTAAGCCTAGTACTCAGATCGGCTAAGAGTTTCACTAGTCGAAAAATCTTGTTCTTTGTAGTGTGACCGAAGTTTTTAAAGTTCACCCGCAATGTATATGGCATGGTCTTACTGCCAAGCAGCTGGGCTTGTTGCCAAACGGAGAAGAAATCAATTGGAGCAACTTAAAAAAGAAGAGTCTGCTGGTGCACAAAGAAATTAAAATAAAAGTAAATAAAATGTTCAACGAATGTTTTTATTTATGTAAATTAGAAGTTTAAGACTTCCTTCTCGTTCCACGGATGCTTCGCCATCTTTCCCGCGCCATCTGTAGTCCAGCTCCAAGTCCCAATAGGCTGGCCAATAATGGCTCGTGATGACTCCTCCAGCTATCCCTTAGCGGGCGACCTTACTTTCTCCTCCCTATAGAAGCCGGCGCGTCCTCCATTTCCGCTTTAGCTGTCAAGTAGCTGGTGGAGGTGGAGTACTCAATGGAAAGCTCGTCGGAGATCAAGCGATGTCCCATGTTCCTTCCCACTGGGATTCTCTCTGGTGGATCTCTTCCAGTGCTTCAACTATTCTGCGGATTTGCCCCGTTGTGGTATTGTTTCCTGTCGGTCAAGTCCCACAATAATGTGTAGCAGCTTGGATTAGGTGTCCTTTTTCACCTGTACTGACCTCCTTTAGCCGATTTTTGGTGTTTTTCTTCCTTTTATAATTTTTAAATTCCCCACCGCTTCTGCACGAACACCGCCAAAGATTAAATTTCTTATTCTTTGGGCCGCGGCTAACGGCGTTCATCGAAAATTCACTCTCGAAATCTGGTATTTTTTCTAGTATTTCCTTAGCTCATCTGAGTACCTCGCTCAAAAACAGACCCGACGAAAAGCTTTAGCCTCCTGTTTGCCTCTCGCTCACTCCTATGGTTAGCTCGCAGTTTTCGTCGATGTGAGTACTAGGCTTAAATTAGAAGTTTAAGGCTTCCTCCTCGTCCCACGGATGCTTCGCCATCTTTCCCGAGCCATCTGTAGTCGAGCTCCGAGTCCCAATAGGCTGGCCAGTAATGGCTGGTAATGGCTCCCCCAGCTGTCCCTTAGCGGGCGACCTTATTTTCTCCCGCCTATAGAAGTCGGCGCGTCCTCCATCTCCGCTTTAGCTGTCAAGTAGCTGGTGGAGGTGGAGTCCTCAATGGAGAGCTCGTCGGAGATCGAGGGATGTCCCACCTTCCTTCCCACTAGGATTCTCTAGTGGATCTCCTCCAGCGCTTCAACTATTCTGCGGATTTGCCTCGTTGTGGTATTGCTTCCTGTCGGTCAAGTCCCACAATAATGGGCAACAGCTTGGATTAGGTGTCCTTTTTCATCTGCACTGACCTCCTTTAGCCGTTTTTCTTCCATTTCTCATTTTTAAATTCCCCACCGCTTCTGCACGAATACTGCCAAAAATTAAATTTCTTATTCTTTGGGCCGCGGCTAACGGCGTTCATCAAAAATTCACTCTCTAAATCTGGTATTTTTTCTGGTATTTCCTTAGCTCATCTGAGTACCGCGCTGAAAAAGAGACCCGACGAAAAGCTTTAGCCGCCTGTTTGCCTCTCGCTCACTCCTATGGTTAGCTCGCGGCTTTCGACGATGTGAGTACTAGGCTTTAAAAACGAAGCAACATTTAAATTTTTGGTTTATTTGAATTAAGTATGTAAAGTATAAAGGAATTAAAATAAAAAAGGTGGCCGTACTCACGCCTTGTTTTAAGAAAAACATTTTTTTTTCTTTTTAATTAAAGAAATACATTTTTTTTCTTAATTTTTTTTTACACCAAACTTCTTTAAAAAAAATTTTACCGTTCTTAATTTTCCAGTTTTTAAGTGAAGTTGTAATTTTATTTTGTATTTCCATTTTAATTCTTAACAAAAATACAAAAATCCTTTATATCAACGTTACATAAGGGAAATTATGTCGTAAAATAATCGTTATTTAATTACATAGATAAATGCACACTGTTTTTATTATTATATACAGCTTTAGGTAGAGGTCTTAAAGCTGAATTTTAGAGAAACTGCGCAAAAGTGCACTTTTATACTAACTGAGCTTAACAAGAAGGAAATACTCTACAATATAAAAAAGGTTTCAGAGGTGGAAACAGCTGAAATCACTTCGAAGCTACATTTAAAGATACAAATTAACTTATATATTTTGTTTGAACTTACACATGAATATTCGAGCCCCACAATTAATAAATACAATTTCACAAACACAAATCAGAAGCCCCTCTGATTGGATGGTATTTCAAAAACTGCATTTCTTTGTTTAGTTTTACACATTTTCTCAATTTAAACTCTTAAGCCTAGTACTCACATCGACGAAAACCACTAGCTGACCATAGGAGTGAGCGAGAGGCAAACAGGCGGCTAACGCTTTTCGTCGGGTCTATTTTTCAGCGCGGTACTCAGATGAGCTAAGGAAATACCATAAGAAATACGAGATTTAACGAGTGAATTTCGATGAACGCCGTTTAGCCGCGGCCCAAAGAATAAGAAATGTAATCTTTGGCGGTTTTCGTGCAAACGCGTTATAGAAACAAAAAATTTAAATTTGTAGGAAAACCCTAAAAACGCCTGCAGGAAGTCAGTGCAGATGAAAAACGACGCCTATTCCAAGCTGTTTCCCATTATTGTGGGATTTCATCGACAGGAACCAATACCACAACAGGGCAAATCCGCAGAAGATTTACTAGAATATCCCAGTGGAAGGAACATGCCGAGTGGGACTGCCGGGCGTGTCAAGGAATGTAAGTTTTGGCCAAAACAACTTGGTACCTTTGTACTAATAGAAGTATATTTATAGCAGAACCGCCAGTAATAAGATCTCCGACGAGCTCTCCATCGCGGAACCACAGGACTCAACCACCACCAGCTTCTTGGAAGCTAAAGCTGCAGGACGCTCTGGCAGCCATTGCCAGGATGCTAGGCGACTTCCTGCAGCATCAGCGGAACGACCCCGTCTCCAATTCGGCTCCCACTCCCTCAAGGCCCATGTTGGAATCGGAGCTTGACATCAAATGGCTCGGACAAAATGGTGAAGCATCCAAGGAAACCTTAATCTACTAATTAACATAAAGAAACACATCCTTTGAACATTCCATTTATTTGTATTTCTTTTTGCACCAGCAGATTCGTCTTTCTAAAATTCTGTAGCGCTTGTTGGGAGTATGGTATACTTTTGTGGCTCCATCTGTGGCTCAAGGCTAGCGTAGAAGTGGCGCCACCTAGGACTTACCTAACAGGGGTGGTGGTAGTCCATTCAGTCAAGAGTGGCAAGTGTCAATTGTCCAAGAAATTCACCTTGGTGCATGCTGTCTTTCCATATCCGGCAACGGCAGAGGCAACACATACATAGTTTGGTTCTAAGTGATAAACGATTCGAAAAGTATCGCGAAGTGCAAGAAACGCTGAGGGAAAGAACTTTCTTTTTCTTTGAATTGGGCCAGAGATTGGTGAGTGTTTTGAGCAGGGAAATTTAGATAGTTTTTTTTTTGACGCAAGATTTATTTAGGCAAGCGGCTGAGAACAGCATATTCGAAGCATTTGGAAAGACTGGAAAAAGGAAGCGAGACATAACTACCATCGCAATCGACACCCGACAGCGTTCTTAGGGGTCTCGGATGAGAGAGCGAAAAACAGCGATTTTTTGCCTAATCTGAACTTTTTTACCTAAGCCTATACTTAAACTTAGTTTAAAGTAGTTTAAGAGCTATTGTCGAATCGACGTCCACCCAGATTAGCTTTCCCAATCGACCCAGACAAGCTTTCCCAATCGACAAACTGAGAGAAACATAAGTTCCAGTGGCAACTGAAGCCAAGTTCAAGGAGAGGTAAGAGTTCCGATCGTACCTCTTTGACAGTAAATCGTACGCGCTCAATGTTCGCGGTCGTTTTCGTCGCGCTCCGCACCGAAAAGAAAGAAGCAAAAACAACAGGTTAATAATTCGCCTGCGTGAGTAATTAATCAAAAAAAAGCAAGAACGAAAGCAAGAAGTCTATGAATCGAGGCGACCATGGCCTAAGGGCAACTAACGCGGAACGCAAGAACTCAAACGGCGAGATAAATTTAAGAAAAATAATTTTAAAGGAGTAAGGAAGAGAAGTGAAAGAGGTTTTTTTTAGTTGTGAAATTGTTAAGGGGTTAAGCAGTGGTCATCCCTGAAGAAAGAGTGAGAGAAAGAAATATGCCAATGCAAGTTATCCAGCTCATGATCCCAGCCTCCTTACCCAATTTATAAACAAACTCTTCATATACAATTCTTAGCTGAGAACGCCTTAAAACTCGAGCGCCCAGCCGCCTTACCCAAGTCGTAAACAATTTCTTATAAACAATTCTTAGCTGGGAACCCCTTACTCAGCTTTCCCACAAAATCCCAATTAGCTCCCCCACTTCAATTGAAGTTCATTATTAAGATTCAATTGCGCCGCGGCCCTCCTAACACAAACTAACTTAGTGAATAAACGTGGGGCTACGCTTAAATTTTTCTCATTAAAAGCTTTAAAATAAATAAGTAACGGTTTTAAAGTAAAAAGGAACTTGCGTGGTCATATAAAAACCTAACCAACCGACTAAAAGTTCGCGTTGAAAACAAAGGAGGAAATTAATAAATGAAATAATCCCCTTTGCTTACAACAATCCGCTAATTAGTAATCGGCATAATAAACCTGCTGTTCAACAAAAAAACTAAACGGTCTCAAAAAAATAAAACCAAACAATTCACAAAATTAAACCAAAATTGTAAGACTGTGAAAGTGAAAGTACAAAAGTGAAAGTACATACAAAAAATATCAACATAAAAATTAACTACCAACAAAAATAAATTGAAAGAAGAGCTGAGGGCCATCCCTCGCTAAAACAACTAAGAAGGACGACCCCAGCAGGATCATCAAAGGAAAACAGAAGACATCGTATTAATCCCAGGAAGAAAAGAAGACAATTAGTGAGCGTATACTGTTTATTTTTTATATTTTATTTAAGTACTATAAGAAAAAAATTGAAATAAAATCAAACAAGGTGGAAGACCTCATTAACGATTTTGAAAGAATTCTCACCATGCCCCTACCACAACCTGCAATGGCTTCTAGCAGCCAAGCTAATAACCAAGTGAGCGAATTAATCGCACATATTGTAAATAATGAATTGAATCCCTTAAGGAATGAGATCGTGAGTTTAAAAGCACAACTAAATCAAAATATAAAAAAGGTTGAAGATTTTCAAGTAGAAGTCATTGACCCAAATATTAAATGTGAAACTTCCTTTGAAATTATCAAATCAGTCAGGGAATTTAAAGGAGAAGAAGACAAATATGTGAGTTGGAGGGAATCTGCAGAAATAGTCATGGGGCAATATGCTAGAGGTAGCGAAAGGTTCTTTTCTGCATTATCAATCTTGAGGAACAAAATAACTGGCACAGCAAACGATGCCCTAACACACAATGGAACGGTACTAAATTTTGACGCCATAATGGCAAGGTTGGACTTTGTTTTTAGCGACAAACGTCCAATCCATATAATTGAGCAAGACTTAGGAGTACTAAGTCAAGGGAAACTGTCCATAATGGATTATTATGGGTTAGTTAATAAAAAACTAACTCTTCTAATATATAAAACCATTATGACTTACGGCAGAAACAAGCCTTTAACTGCTGAAATGAACGAAAAACACAAAAAGACAGCTCTAAGAGTATTCATAACTGGCCTCAACGGCCATATCTCAGACGTCATATTTTCTATATTTTTTCTTACCGAACGCTATGGTAATAGTACAAGAACTAGAAAGCAATAATTTGAGGGCTCAATTCGCTAGCAATTGCACATCAGTTATAAGTCAAATTTATTCGGGTACCAAAACTCAAATAATAGACCCAAGCAAAATAACCATAATAACCATAATAGTAATCAGAGGAATACTAACAACTTGAGGTTTAATCAACCCGATAGCGAGAATAGAAACATTTATAATCAAAATAAAAATCTTAATTGGAGTCAGGGCAGACAGTAAAATCCAGTAAGCTCAGCAAAGCAAGCCAGAACCGATGGACGTAGATGAATCCTTACAGATTCAGAATAGGCCAAAGTACAATCAGGGTTATAACAATTATGGTAACAACAACTATAATCAGAATAAATGGAATCAAAATAAAAGGCAGGAGACACAAACAACTCCGGAAAATAGTCCGCAGAACAAAACAGAACCAACAGGTACGGTTAACCAACCTGCTAGTAAAACTATGCGGTTAAATAATATCGAAGAAGACCATTTTTTAGGCCAGAATCCGGAGTAGGACTACCCTACTTAACAAGATATGATAGCAAGATAAATAAAACACTTAAAATTTTAATTGACACAGGAGCAACCTCCTGCTATATCAGAAGAGGGATATATAAAAACAAAAACGAGCTTCCTATATATAAAAGAGTATCTACGGTTAATGGATAATCTATAATTAAATATTATCACATCGTAACGATCTTCTATACGCGTAACCCATTTTATGAAATAGATGGGTTAAAATCAGACTTTCTAATAGGTTAAAACCTATTGAAAAAATAGGAGCTGTAATAGACACAGAAAAAGGAGTAATAAGATATGGGCGCAAAGAAGAAAAATTGATTTATGATAATGACAGTTATTTTAACCAACTTTCCTTATATGAAGAAAAAACAATTCTTCCATTAAAGGAATTTATTATACGAAAATACTTTGATGAAAAGGCCAAAATCAGAACAGAGTCTGAAGAGGCACATCAAAGCAAAACAAGTTTGGGATTTAAATATCCTGAGCACGCCGTCGTTGAAGTATCCGACAAAACTAAAAGTTTGGGGTTCAAAAATCCTGAGCGCGCCGTCGTTGAAGTATTTGACAAAATTTCAAGTTTAGGATTAAAAAATCCTGAACAAGCCGTCGTTGATTTATCCGACAACAATGAAATAAACAATGTGAGTGAATCAACTCCAAACCAAAGAATGGATTTGGAAAATGAGATAATAAATATTATCAATGAGTGCTCTTCTTCTTCGAAGATAAATAAATAAGTCCCTTTCAGGACTGATAGAGTTTTAATGACGATGGTAATGCAAAGCTCAGATTAGTTATAGGCTATAAAAAACTAAACTAAAACACCATTCCGGACAGATATCCAATGCAAGATCCTTCGGTGATTTTGTCAAACCTCGACCATCGACTTGGAGTCTGGGTTTCACCAGATTCTCATGAAAGAGACAGACATTGAAAAAACTTCATTTTCTATAAATAACGGAAAATATGAATTGTTGAGAATGCCATTTGGACTAACGAACGCTCCCAGAATATTCCAACTCGCAATGGATGATATTTTGGATGATATATAGATGACATTATTATATTTTCTAAAACAATAACAACACTACAAGGACTTAATCGTCATAATTAATATATTGTTGAACGCAAATATGAAAATTTCAATTGAAAAATCCAAGTTCTTCAAATTAGAAAACACATTTCTGGGTTACGTTGTTTCTCACAATGTAATCAAAACAGACCCCGAAAAAATATCTACAATTTTAAAATATCCAATTCCAAAAAACATTCGAGAGCTTAGAAGCTTCCTAGGCCTTACCGGCTATTTCAGAAAATTTGTGCAAAACTACGCAAAAATTGCAAAACCGCTGACAAAATATTTGGAAGGTCAAAATGGTGAAGTATCCAAAAAAATGTCCTGTAAAACTTCCATACAGTTAGATGATTCAGCTGTAAGAGCTTTTAACGAGCTCAAAGATAATTTAATTGCACAAATCGAATTGGTACAACCTGATTATAATAAAAAATGCACTTTAACGACCGATGCGTCCGATCTAGCTATTGGTGCCTTTATTTCAAAAACTATAACTAAAGCCGAACAAATAAATGCAACCCATAAGAAAGAACTTTTAGCAAAAGTTTGGACATTTAAAAATTTGAGAAACTATTTATACGGCCTAAACAACATAGAAATCTATACAGATATTCAACCACTGTCTTTCTCGATCTTTCAAAAAAATCCAAACATCGAGATAAAAAGATGGTACTCATTCATTGAAAGTTACTCTCCCAAAA